GCCAATAACCAATGATCAGTTTTAATATACATTACATGACTCACTATGTTGCTACCTCACTAATGGATATCATGTCTTTTCTCACTGGATTTTATTGCTACAGCTCTATATTCTTGTGTAATGTTTATAATTACTGAGTTACAGACAAAATAATTTTGAATAACTTAAAATAAGCCTTTTTCAATATTCTTATTAATCTGTTGAATTAGGGGGCATATTGATTTTAAAATACTATATAGGGCTGTGTAGATAACTTTTTAATTACTAACTGGGAAAACTTAGTTTCCCAATTGTAGTTTAAGTTCTGTGCTTTTGGAAGTTTTCTTTTCCTTTCACTTAGTTTTTCAAAGTCAACTTTTGCCTTTTGCAACAACTGCTATGCCCCATTTAAAAATAAATGACCCTCTATAAGAAATAATTTTTGCTAGTTTTACAGGAAAAATCAATATGGTACATAACTTTTTCCTGGCTTAGTAGCTAATCTGAGAAAATAAAGGACCATACACTTCAACTGATGGATGCCCCAGACCATCTTAAGTACAAACTTCAAACACAGATATTTTATCATATAAGTTATTTGATTTCCCATAAAAAGTTTACACTTAAACTTGTATCTCTTTTAATGATTGATTAAACTTGTATCTCTTTTAATGATTGTCTTATACAGCACTATGCAAAATTTGGGAGGCTTTCTAAAATACGGAATTTAGACTGAAATAATTATCAGCACATGCACAAGTGGGTCAAGCTTGGAAGAGAAAAATTGCACTGCCAGCTTTGAGTAAGACCCAAGAGTCAGGGACAAAGCACATGATGTGGATCAGCCTTGATTGATTATTTTCAATGAAGTTCCTCAGCTATTGTGACCTAAATCTCCATTTAGGTTGCTTGTTTTCTTTGGTTCATTATTTTAAATATGCTGAGTTCTTTTAAAGATAAGTCCTACACAAACATTAAAATATCTGTGAGAGTCTGTCTTATCTCTGGTAGCTCCCTTGTGCCGCTTCTATACAGAGGGCAAACATATTAGCTAACCTTCTTTATGTCTTGAATAAAGAAAGTCTAGAATGCCACTTGTAGAGCCATGCTAGACTGATTAAACACATATCCTTGGATTTTAGAACTAGTTCTCCAAGAAATTATTTCCAGTTGCTGGTGGGCAGTAGAGATTCAAGGTCAAGGTTACCACAGATTGTGCTCCTAACCAAAAAAATGATTTCTGTTTCTCTCTTCTTTCTTTTCCCTTCTCTTTTCTCTCAGACAGTGCAGCTGAGGACGTTGGAAATTTAGCTAAAGGCTAAACCCTGGAGGGGAAGAGAAATAAAAAGCAGTAAAAATATATATGTTCCGGTATCTTTTAAAAATTGAACTCATTATAAAAACTCTTGATAAAAAATATTACAAAGCCATATGATTTCATTGGTGAATTCTATCAAACATCTAAGAAATAGTGCCAATCTCACAAAATCTCTTACAAAAATACAAAATAAGGAAGTATTTTTCAACCTGTTTTTATGAATCCAACACAAACGTGACACTAAAATGTGGCAAAAATATTACAAGATAAGAAAATCAGAGACCAGCATCCCTCTTGTACATGGATATAAAAATGTTAAACAGTGTATTAGCAAATAGAACCCAGAAACACATAAAAATATAAAACATAATGACCAAGTAGATTTACCCTAGGAATGCAAGGTTAGTTTAACATTAAAATTTAACATTATAGATGCATAACAAGATTGTTTTCCAAATATAGAAGGTAACTTCTTCAGAAAACATAGAGTCAACAACTTAATGGTGAAATATTGAATCTTTATCCCTTACAGGAACAAAACAAGGATATCCACTGTCATCATTTATAATCAGCATCATAATGGAGGCTCTAGCCAGTACAATAAGCATGAAAATGAAATAGAGTTATGAATATTAAGGAGGAAGAAGTAAAATTGTCTTCATTCACATATAACAGCATTGTTTATGTCGAAAATCCTAACAAATCCAAAAAAATTTTTCTACTAGAACTCATAAGTGAATTTAGCAATGTAGTAGTAGCCTACCTGTTTAAAAGTGGATTCAGGGGCTTCCCTGGTGGCGCAGTGGTTG